GGTTCTGCTTATTCAATAGCAGTGCGCAGTACCTTTAATTAATGACCATTCATTTTTTTTAGTGAAAAGGATGGGGAAGTTGAGCTTGATGATGTCTGGTTCGCATATCCTTCTCGCCCTTCTCATATGATTCTTAAGGTACCTCCCAGAATACTGTGCAACTGACATGGCCATTTACCAGATATGACATTTTCCTTCCTTATATATAAACAGTGTACATATGCAAAGAGAAACTAGGAGCCTAGCTTGCACCAGCTTTCATCCATATTCTTGTGGGCTCTTCTGGGTTACCTGATTAGTGGGCTCTCTTTTTTAAAGGAATAACAATCCATTCCATTGTGTTTTTCCACGTTTTGTTTTATTCTAGTTCATTCCTCTGTGATCCCAGGTGAGAAGGCCATTGCAATTTTGTGAACGCAGTTGGGGCTGTCGAGTGCCAACTCTGTTTACTCTTATATTTATATTAGTCTGTGTACTTTAATGTAGGGCTGTAGGCAGAGATCTAGCCCTTTTCACTCTACAAGGAAAAAAAATATAACGGCATACATGAGTTCACATTACAACATTAACAAAAGTTCTAACTTAGCTTTTGTTTCAAAAACAGTGTTTTGACTGGTTCATATGGAACTTTTTAGGATGACATATATGGGAACTTCATCATTAGCTTGAATTTTTTTTTTTTGTGAGGACATTTGCTTGAATAATCTTTGTTGTGCTAGTGGCTAGTTTTCGTCATGGGAGCATTGTAGTTATGCTTATGCTTGCTATCAACAATATTGCAGGGAATAACACTAAAGTTAGCTCCAGGTTCAAAGGTTGCACTTGTTGGGCCAAGTGGTGGTGGTAAAGTAAGTTTTTTTTTTTTTGCCCATACTAATTACATGACAAACTTTATCTTAAAGTAGAAAGTGTCTTCAAACTGCAGCCTCAATTATAACATTAACTTTTGCAGACCACAATAGCAAATTTGATTGAGCGGTTTTATGACCCTCTAAAGGGAAGGATATTGCTTAATGGAGTACCATTGGTAGAAATTTCACATCAATATCTTCACAGCAAGGTATGTCATGCAACTATTTTCTAGTTATATTGTGAAAAAAAATATTATCTAAGCTAGGGTAGTGTCGCAAGGTTCACAATTCTGGTGGATGATGATACATTATTGTCCTGAACTGACTATAGCTAGTTCGATCCTTTCATTTGTGCCAAAATTTCATTTCATTGTTCCACCTAATAATCTGGATTCTGGTGAATCCAGTAATTTTGGCTACTTTAAGGCCTTGTTTGGATGCTATTCACATCAATCCACATGTGTTAGGTGGATTAGAGTGGAAATTAGTTTAGTTTCCACCTCAACACAAACAAACCCTAAACAGTAATTTGGAGTAGCACTGGTATGAAATTTGGTGAATTGGGGAATGTGAAAGTGTTTTGGTTGGTAACTCAAACCAGCATTATCATCATCTGTTCAAAATTCAACTAGTAATGAGCACTTATAATTCTATAGTCTGTACTATGCAATGCTGAGTCCTGAGTGTTGAAAAAAAAGAAGCAACCACCCATCTAAATCTGTAGCTTGAACAAGAACCTATAGGTTTCTATTTCCAGTCGATTTTAATCATGGCATGCCTATTTTAAACAGCCATGTGTCCTTTTTCCGAAAAAATAATATTTCTTTCATGGTTTTTCAGATTATTAATTGGAAAAAAATCCAAATTGTAATTATGCTCAACATTCAGTTCACAAACCAACAAGCAAATCCAGAATTTGCTAGAGTTAAATGGAAGTCCTTGAAAAAGTTGTGCTATATGAGCTCTACAATAGTGCAGTTTACCATGAGATTATTGTTCTGGCAAGTAGAATATCCTTATTTTTTTCCAAATGTTTATGGACTGATTTCAGGTAAGCATAGTCAGTCAGGAGCCTACACTCTTTAACTGCACCATTGAAGAGAATATTGCTTATGGATTAGAGGGCAAAGCGGACTTTGCTGACGTTGAGAGTGCAGCTGTAAGTATCTGCATTCAGAAACACTAGTGCACGACTGCAGGATTGTACATCCTTATCAACTCTCTCTCTGATGCAGAAAATGGCGAATGCACACAGCTTCATATGCAGTTTTCCCGACCAATATAAGACTGTCGTTGGCGAGCGAGGGATCAGGTTATCCGGCGGGCAGAAGCAGAGGATCGCCATTGCGAGAGCTTTGCTTATGAACCCACGAGTGCTTCTCCTGGATGAAGCTACCAGTGCCCTGGATGCTGAAAGCGAATATCTTGTCCAGGTAAGCACGAACGGCCATCTCCTAAACTGCTGGTGCCAGCAAGAAACAAACAACACTCTTAAGTGCAACCCATCTGTGATAGTATCAGTCAAATGTGCTTTGTTTCTTGCTTGGCGAGCTGGAACGTGACGTTGGTTTTTCCCCTACATGTGCCACAGGATGCAATGGACTCCTTGATGAAAGGAAGGACTGTCCTTGTGATAGCTCACCGGCTCTCGACCGTCAAGAGTGCCGACACCGTCGCCGTCATCTCTGACAGCCAAATCGTGGAGAGCGGCACGCACGACGAACTCCTGGACCACAACGGGATATACACGGCCTTGGTGAAGAGGCAGCTGCAAGGGCCGAAGTTTGAGGCCACCAGCAGCATCAACGAGGCCAGCGAAATTGAAGCCGAACCCAGCAGTAATGGGCAATAGCGCCCCGCTCCTTAGGCAGACCACAGTTCATTTGAATCCACAGAAGTTGTATGTAACCCTGATCTTGATGTATGCCACTGCGAATCACGGGAAACCATTGATATCACACGATGCTACGGTTGGGGGGCAGGAGTACCTAATTCGCTAGTCCTACACATATATATGGTCCAGGACTCCAGGTTCGTGTTTATGCTGTGCTAATTTCTTGCTGGTGCACTAAGCGGACCCGAGTTGCATCACTTCGTTACACGACGACGTTGTGTACCTGAGTGACATTCGTTATTGTTTCTAAAACTTCTCTTCAAAACATGAAACAAAAGCATGCTGTGCCTTGAGATTTCGATTATGACTAGCTGCCGGCCCCTAAAAAACGTTAAACGTGTTGAGACAAACTTCTTGTGCCGTTCTCAAGTAGATGAGGGATCGATGTGTATAGTAAAACTTTATAGAGTTTGACCACTAATAACATTACAAATATATTAAGATTTTTAATATGAAATTATTAGTTCATCTCGAAAAAATGCTTCCATTTTCATAGATAATCTATTTTTCCCTTTAGAATGACAATAGGTCTGTCTATTTGTTAAGATAATGCGTTTTCGTAGAAATTGCTAGTTAAATGGGATGTTGTTCAATCAGATTAGTACATGTGCATGTACTTGTTCTCCGTATTTCCTTCTTTATATGTGCCAACGTTATTAGTCCCAACTTCCACTCATCCCTATTTGTCCCTCCATCAGCTACCGTAGTGCATAGCACCCCAATTACTCATGGCCCAGATGCATAACATTTCGCTCATAGACTACCATATACGTGTACATTGATAAGAAAAATTAGCTGATTTAAGCTCAAGATTTGGTGAAATTGTATAAAGCTATAATTTATACGTAGAGACGATATTATCCTTAATGCGACGGTTATATGTAGGGGTGAAAGTGGTGTGGATAATTCTCCACTCCGATCCGAACCAAATCTGAATTTTAAGGGTACGGAGAAGAACTTTTAATATCCGCGCGATATGGATAATCCGAATCCGATTGTGTGCGGATGCGGGATAGGATATGGAATTCCCAAAATTCGGAGGATATGGATTATCCGCAAATTCTATGTGGATTATCCAATGTTTAAAATAGGATATCCGATAATATCTCTTCCTAGACTAAAACTTAGAAGATTAAAAAGATTTTTTAGTTGAGAACTCTTAGTTTGTGATGTTGTTGTTTGACATTATTTAAATTTCGAATTGAGGTCTTGCTCATTGTTTATACGTATTCGCTAATAACTTATCATTTGTGAGTGATGATAACTCGTTAAATGTCATTTGTCGGTGTGATAGCCAGAATATAGAATACAATATATGATTTTTGTCTACTACATGTTATTAAATTTTTACAAATAAATTTTTGACAAGTATGCACATATTACTCGACTATTTAAATTCGTATCCGATCCGTTTCCGCTCCATATCCGTACCAGATCCTATATCCGAAAAAATCCATATTTGCATCCGCATCCGAGTATTATGCGCTCCGATCCGAATCCGATAAACAAAAGCGGATTAGAATATGGAAAAGCTATTATCCGCTCCGATCCGATCCGTTTTCATCCCTAGTTACATGCCATGTTCGTAAAAGCTAAAATTAATGTAGCCTCCTTTGCGACGGTTATTACTTGTCATGTTCTTCTATCTTCTTAGCATTTTTTTTGTCGTATATGCTGCTTTTGGAATTTTCTTGTTTATGGAAACCACTTATCGGTTTCTACTGCCAACATTTGCTCTAGTGTTATTTCTTTTTTTATATACCACAACTAAATTTTACCTAACAAACTTGTGCTCCAAGAGAGAAACAGTGGCTCTCACGTTCGAGACCGCTACACTGTATCCACGTATCTCGAGAGAAAAAATGGAAATGTGCCGCACGGCGCCCCACGTGTTTGGATTGGAGCCTCGCCTGGGGGCTGCTGCCCAGGCACATCAATCCAGCCCTAGGCTTAGAAAATCGATGGCCTGGAGTAGTTTCCTGGCCCAGGCATATTTCCCAGGTCTTGATCCAAACAAGGTAGGTTACCGTCTCATCTGGGGACAAAAAGCTGTGCCGACTCGAACCATTCCCTCGGCTTCGCAGTTCGTACGCGCACGCCTGGCCCGTCCACTTTGCGCTCTCGAGTCTCGACCTCGGGGAAGAGCACGAGAGGCTCTCTTTAACGCGTCATACCTACCGTGCCTTCTGACCTGTGCCCAGTGCCCGGACGCCGCCCCTTTCCTTTTCGGGGTCCCCCTCGGTGAACTAGATCGGATGGACCCGCCGCCGGCGAGGCGCGCGGCGTCCAAGCGGCGGGACCGTCGACGGCGCAGCCGGCAGCGGCAGCGGGCAGCCGCAGCTGCAGCCACGGCAACGGGGATCAGTGCGGCCGTGCTGGCCGTGGAGCCGCAGAACGCAGCGGCCACAGCCCCGGTGGCTCCGGCAGGCGCTGCTGCCACGCCGGCGACGAGGGGCAGGAACCGGCGGAGGTCTCGGAGACGGCGTGATCGGAGTGCCCGCGCGGCTGCGGCGGCGGACGAAGCACCGGCTGCGTCCCCCGTTTCAGGTATGCCGCTACTGCCTTCGCGTGCCGCGCCGCGCCATCCGCCATGGATAGGCTTCATGCCTGCGTGACTGCTCTGTGTTGTGTAACGTGTATTGCTGGGCCATAAACATCACGCCTCGTTTGTCATGCCGCGGCAATAGTTGTAGTGAACTGTAGTAATTCCGTTGCGACTTGATGACAGAATCCCAGCAAAATACGTTTTAGCCTTTTAGGGCGTCCTGTCAGAAAGTAAAATCTGCACTTAAGGAGAGTTTTACTAGTGTACTCGTGTGTTGGTCTGTGCCCTTGTACATACATGTTCCAACGCCGCACGGAATTCATGTTCACTGCCATAGTCTTTGAGATGCAAACTTGTGTGGCCTGTGGTTTTGATGCTTTTTTTTTGCTCCAAAATGTTTGGAAATTGTTTCTGCACACTGAATATGTGATCACTTTGATTAGTTATAGATATCTGGACAGTATTTTGATAGGGTATAAGTTTCACCTTCAAACATTTTTATCAGGAAAAAAAAAGATAGACAAGCGTATCATTTCCTTTGTTATATTTCTTTAGTTTAATTTTGGTGTAGGATGTTGAACTTATCTTACACTGAAAAAATTATACACTAATGGTTAAGGAGATTGTCATGACACTGCGAATTGTCTGGAAGATGCCATTTCAACTCAAGAAGGTTCTGCCCCGCAAGCAAGTTGGAATTTGGAAGCAATGGCAGCACATCTGAGAGATAATGTGCTGCAAACTACAACTGAGAAGATAACGAGCTTAGATAAAACAAGAAAGATAAATTTTCAGGCTGGAAATAAGGTGCTAAAAGATTCTGCGGCTGATGGTGCTGCCTGCGCTTCTCTTGCCTGCCGTGAACATTCTGTCAGAGAAAATGAAGCCTCAAGGAGCAAGATATTCAAGAGATCCGATGTAAGATTCCCGATTGATAGTTGCACTGCACAAGGAACTGATATGGATTATCACAAGATGAAGAGTGCCGATTTGCCAGGGAACCTGGAAGAAGTATACCAGAAAAGAACATGTCCTGGCCACCTCTCTTTGCAGAAGTCGGAAGAATATAGGGAAAATGAAAATGTACCTTCTCTCAACTCCAGCAGTTTACAGGAGGGAAAAAAGAGAAGGAAAAAAAGAGGCGGGAAAAGGCATAATCGTCGCAAGAAAGCTACATCACAGGATTCTCCAGCACCAACTGCTGCTGATAATTCTGGTTTGACGACGTTCCTTTCTGAGAACTGTGCTTCAGGTCTTAAACCAGAGGAACAGAGGAAAAAGCAAGATCAGAGCAAGGCACGCATGACTAACTTAGTTTTAGTCAACAATGCAAAGAGATCAGAACCATTTGGTGTGAATTTGGAAGGCGCTATTGAAAAGAGCTGTGAACTGGGAACGAATAGTTTGGACAGCACCTTTGAAAATAGGTATGAGCTGGCTAAGAGTAATTTGGACTGCACAAATATGGTAAGAAATGGATTGCAAGAGCAAGATTTAGCATGTTCTTCAAACAGTCGCAATGTTAACTACCTGAGCCCCTCCCATTTGGCTGTGGAATATATGGAAAAGCTCAAACTTGTCTTTTCACCGGGAAAGTCCTTAGGGTTTCCGAAGAAAAAGCTTCTCATCTTAGATCTTAATGGTTTACTTGTGGATATCAACGAAGACTACCACAATGCTCACATGGCTGATGCCAAGGTTCGAAGAAAATTAGGTGAAATTTCTAGTATTATCACCTATAATTATTATTTGGCACATTGCTGATCCAGAATGTGGTTGAAGATGTTTATATATGATAATATATCTTTTTATCAGTCTTCCGAAGGCCTTACTGTGATGATTTTCTCAACTTTTGCGCCCTGAATTTTGAGCTAGGCATATGGTCCTCAAGAAAAAAGTATGATTTCTTCTCATCTTTCTCCATTTCAGATTTTCTATTTTGTTTTACTTGGTACTTATTGTGTCATTCTAATTTGTCCAGAGAAAATGTTGATTCACTTGTTAATATTGTTATGAGCGAATTCAAACCGTGCCTACTGTTTTGTTGGGTAGGTCAACTAAACAAATGCTTGTTCTCTTTCTGAGTTTTTCTTTGCTCCTAATATATTTATTTATGGCCTTTATATGTCCAGGACTTGTCTAAATGCACATTCACTGGACACAAAACACTGGAGAACAAGCACAAACCATTGGTGCTGAAGGAATTGAGAAAACTATGGAACATGGAAGAACCAGATCTTCCATGGGAAGAGGGGGACTATTCACCTTCAAATACATTACTAGTGGATGATTCTCCTTACAAAGCTCTGCGCAATCCTGTATTTGTCCAACCTCTCCTATATGCCAAGCTTTTCAACGTTCACTTATACTGAATATGACACACAACTGCTTTTGTCTATCTTGTGCAGCCGTATACTGCAATTTTTCCTCGCTCCTACAGTTACTTGAACTGGAATGACAATTCGCTGGGTATGTGCTCATCATTATGATGCTTTACCTATACCTGACTACAGCTTATTCATGCTTTAAGTTTCAATTCCTCGTAAGCAGGTCCCGGTGGAGACCTTCGTGTGTATCTGCAGAACCTAGCCGCTGCAGATGATGTTGAGCGTTTTGTTCATAATAATCCGTTTGGTCAACCCTTCATTACTGAGAGCGATCCGCATTGGAACTTCTATGGTCAGATTGCTGATAGAGAGCGTGCACCCTTGACATGTTGTGCTTGAACTCCCAAGGATCACTGCTTTTTCTGGGAGTTCCGTAGTTATCCACGGTCAAAGATCATGCTCTTAAGTATGGAGTGATCTTCTCGGAGTAGTTTGCTTGTATCCCTGTACTGAAGATTACAGGGTTTCTGTGCTATCAGTTTAAATTGCAGGCTCTATGAAAGGTATCAGATCAAACTGTCCAATTGACAGTGAAAACTAGCTAACCACAGGACAGCTTACACATATCAGGCGCTAAACTGCTCTGTTTTTTCCGTGCTCCATTTTGGCTTATCCTTGTAAATGTTTTGCACGTTTTATTTGCTTTACCACCAGTAACTTTGTGCACGTTTGGCTTACTACCCTTGTTCAGGCACGTGTTGCAAGTTTGCAACAAGGCTCTGAACATGCAAATGCAAAACGAGCTCATTTTAGGCACAGTAAACTTGGACTTGCCACGGTTACTAGATGGCCCTATAAAATCTGTTTTCCCCCATGGCAGACTTCAGATCAATCCACTAGCAAGTCGCCTTCTTCCCATTCCTTTCCATCAACATCAAGCAAAAGACTGACTGGAAAGCTAAGCCCCGGTGTTTACGTTACATACAAGAAAGACACGAACGACGGTGTTTACATTACATACAAGAAAGACACCAACGACGCCAAGACCCCAGGAACACTGTGAAAACGGCAGGCAGCTGGAACGACCGATCCGACGATCAACCAATCACCATGGGATTCTTCCATGGGAAGACCTCCAAGCAGACCTCGAGGGTTAAGAAGCTTCTCGAGCTCGCCTTGTCGCGCCTCGCCATTGCACGCCGTCCCCGCCTTGCTCGCAAGTCGATCTGCCGTAGCGACGTCGGCCAGCTCCTCTCCCTCGGCTACCTCCACCGTGCTCTCATTCGCGTACGGACCTATGATCTCTCTAAACACACATCAAATGAAGCGTAGTACTCTTCCAATGCGGAAGCACTAACGAACCAATGCAACCTTGATTTCTTCATGCAGGCAGAGCAGGTCATAGAGGAGGATAACATGCTGCAGTCGTTCGACATCATTGAGCTCTACTGCAAGCGACTCGTTGAGCATGCCACGCAATTAGACAAACCGCAGTAAGTTCATTTCACACGGTACTTAGCATCTTATCAGCTTGATTTCTTGAAGCATTTGGCATGATCTCCTATTCTATTTGGTTTCTCGCCTGTTTTTCAGTTGCATGACTATTGTTATGCTTCGTTCGTGTGCAGGGAGTGCAGCGAGGAGATAAGGGAGGCCGCCGCTGGGATCATGTTTGCAGCCAGGTGGTGCGGCGATCTGCCGGAGCTGCAGCTCGCACGCACCATCCTAGAAGACAAGTTCGGCAGCGACTTGACTGCGGTCGCAAAGGAGGGAACCGGCATTGTCGATCCCATGGCAACTAGCATGAACCTATTCATATCTAGCATGTCTTATCATCGATATGAAACTGGCAAAAGGCATTCCTAACGTTTACAGGGTTGGTTTGTGTTACCATTATTGCAGTTGGTGTGGAAGTTATCCGGCGACAAAACAAACATGGAGCTGAAGAAGAAAGTGGTCAAGTTAATCGCCACCGAAAACAATATCATGGTGGAGTTACTGGAGTTCTCCGAGCTCCAGGAAGCAATCGAGCACAACAACATTGGCAGTCCTTGCTAGGAGTTCGACCATGAAGAGATGAAACAACGTCTCAAGAACAATGGATGAAAGTTCAGAGTCAGATTACGGTCTTCCTTACCCCACAAAAAAAAGGACGAATGCCTTGGTCTTGGAGCCAGCCCGGGATCCAGGGAGCAACGAGGAGAAATGGAGAATGCATTTGACAATTCCAACTCTTGTGATCAAGCAATTGGCAGCTGAAACCCAAGGCCCACCAAGTTTCAGGAATAATACCTCAAACAGCAACAATAATAAGGTCTTAATTGAGTAATGGTGTATTGTGTATTTGTGTGGGACTTTGACATGTTTTTTTACAAAGGGAGTACAACCTTTTTCATTATAGAAACCACATTATGTGCATGTCTTGCTTAATGGAGTTTTGGGTGTGGGGCCATGGACTATGGCCCCACTTGATTCTCAAATTTTTGCTCTCAAAATTGGATGTTGTGTCAAAACAATGTAACACTTTGGTTGTATGCGGTCGCAAAGACCGAAACAGGTCCTTTTTCAAAACAGACGCATGTATTATCCAAGATGGAGGCATGGAGAAAAGTACAAGCGTATTGGATCATAATTTTGAAACAGTAATGTACACACAGGCTTGCTATTTCGGCTTCCTGCTTTGATACAGCTGTACTAATACATAATTACAACGGTTTTAAAACATGAGGAATGCTGTGACAAATTTGCTGCTTATATATTCTATACAACCACATAATGCAGGTTTGGTGTTCCTTAATACTGAACTAAAGTCCACTAATACTGAGCAAGGGTAGGAAGGGAAAGTAATATAAGTCAAAATTGTTATCCTGCTCCAATTTAAAATCTCCAAATTGACTTCTGTTATCCCAATTTTATTACCTGAAATTAAAAGCATGGATTAATTGCAGTATGGATTAGTTCAGTTGCATCTGAAATTGCAAGATTGATAAATTTCAGTTGCATCCCATTTGTATTACCTGAAATTGCAGGAACATGCCCTCTGGTAATTCATACAATCAATTGAACATTTCAGTTGCATCTGAAATTGCAAGTGAGCCAGTAACCCTGACGGCGTTCTCCAAACCAGCCCAAAGACACCTCATCTACCGCACACCCAACAGCGGGCATGGGCCTAAACGTTTTGTGGGCCTTATCAAAGAGAAACGTTGCCACGGCCTGGCCCATTAACGAACCCTGATCCTTGATCTCTATAAATGAGAAACCCTAACACCTCTCGCGTCCACTCCACCCGCTTCCCCCAGCCACTCCCAACCCTAGCGCCGCCGCCGCCTCACAGGTAAGGCCGCCATGGTCTCCGGTTCTGGCGTGTGCGCGAAGCGCATCGTGGTGGACGCGCGCCACCACATGCTCGGCCGCCTGTCGTCGATTATCGCCAAGGAGCTCCTCAATGGGCAGAAGGTGGTCGTCGTCCGCTGCGAGGAGATCTGCATGTCGGGCGGCCTCGTCCGCCAGAAGATGAAGTACCTCCGCTTCCTCCGCAAGCGGATGAACACCAAGCCGTCTCACGGCCCCATCCACTTCCGCGCCCCAGCCAAGATCCTGTGGCGCACCATCCGCGGGTATGTGAGCAACGCAACGCCGCCCGGATCCGTCTGGTTTTGTTTTCCCGATGTGTTGTGGGATTTATGTGTGCTGCGGTTGTGTTTGCAGTATGATTCCGCACAAGACCAAGAGGGGAGAGGCGGCTCTGGCGAGGCTCAAGACCTACGAGGGCGTCCCGCCGCCGTACGACAAGACCAAGCGCGTGGTCATCCCTGACGCTCTTAAGTATGTGTTTTCATTAGTGCTCGAGACTGATTGCTGGTTGATCTTAGCTTGTGATGTTCGTGTCTGATGGTGTTCTGTTGTTGTGGTTCGTAGGGTTCTGAGGCTGCAGCCTGGACACAAGTACTGCCTCGTCGGTGAGCTCTCTAAGGAGGTCGGATGGAACTACCATGACACCATCAGGGTAAGCGTTTTCCAACTCTTATTTTCTTGTATAAGTATGTGGCATCGTTTTGCACGAACACTTTAATGGCCTGATGCTAGTTTGAGGGAGTTAGTAATTGGTATATTTTTCTAATTGGAAATGAACTGTCTTGCCTTTCGTACTGATGTTATGATTAGTCTGGTGATTCAGGCATTACTAGAAGTTCCTTTAGTTTCGTCTGTGCTGGACACCTTTTATTACTGAGAAATTATTCACATTTGTTGTTGAATTCTTGTTGCTAGAATAGCCTTTTTTCATCTTGGTTGAGATATTATGCTGAAATGTGCATGATTCTGGATGATGAAGAAAAATCAATCGGATTCCCATTGATTTCACAATATGATTTTAACAACCAGCTACTTCTGACAAAATCATGCCACTTCAGACTATACTTGCCTCTGGTTTGGAAATCTAATGCTTTTTGCTGATGTTTGTGTCATCTTGATTGATTATTTGATACATGCATTTGTTATGGTGATGCGCCATTTTCATATCAAACGAATGGTTCTGTATGACCTTAACTCCTTTAAATTTAAAACGATTCATTCATTTGTTTTTATTGTGATGTGCCTATGATGTGATCAAAATATTTGCTACTCTTGATGGGTGTTCCCATTTGATGATCTTAACCACCAAGATCTCTGAGGCCCATCACATTGCTATTAGAAAGACTCAGTTCATGTGATCACTTAAGAGTGTCTGTAGGAGTTGCTGATGTTTTATGGTTGCGTTCTTTTACAGTGTAATTTATCCTACTGTGTAGTGATTTCTGATCGCCCTTGTTTGCTCTATCAGGAACTTGAGGAGAAGAGGAAGGAGAAGGCCAAGGTTGCCTATGAGAGGAGGAAGCAACTGGCCAAGCTACGTGTCAAGGCTGAGAAGACAGCCGAGGAGAAGCTGGGATCTCAGCTGGAGATTCTTGCCCCGATCAAGTACTGAGAAGCTGTGCTTTCTATCAGTTTTGTGGAACATCTGGTCCATTGTTTTATTTAAGTAGTTTGGTAAAAGTTTGTGACAGTATAATCTTGAGTGATAAACCGTGTGTCATCCTTCTGTGACTCCTATTTTGAACACATTTTCTAGCCGGTGAATGAACTGTTTGGTTTATCAGATGTATGGTTCGCATTCTCATTCTGGGAGACTTGAGGTCTCATGCGTCGCTAACTCTCACTACCACATGCTTCCCTAGAACTGTCTTCTTCCACACGATTATCAATTCAGGAGTGGTGATTAACCCAAGTTCAGTTAGGCACTGGCAGAACCCCAATGCTTGCGCTGCTGCTCGATGCTGACGCCGGTGTACAAGCTCTATGAGATCAAATCCCAGCTGCACACTCATCAAATCTCTGTATGGACTAGCAGCAGACTAAAGTCTCTACGTCTTTACCTCAATGCACGTGTGTTGCAGGCAGTCTATTGGGATAGATTTTCCAATCCACATTCAATGTTGTAGTGGATTGGGATGGATTTTCTAATCCACATCCAAAATAGCCCTTAAGCGGCAAATGATGAATTGCCTTACAAGAGCAACTCCAGCAGGGTCCCTATTTGAGCCCTCGTAGCTAAATAATATGGGTGCCCAGACAAAAAACGCAGCTCCAACAGGGCCCCCTATTAGAGCCCCCAATTTATTTAGGGTGGGCACTCAAATCCTTCCTCCAGACCCCATTCTTGGGGCAGAATGGGGCTCACCCCTAGGCCCCCATCCTGCCGTTTCTTCTCCGCGTGCTCGCCTACCCGTCCACGACTTAAGCCCCCATAGCTAAATATAAGTGTCCAATCAAAAGCACAGCCTTAACAAGGCCCCTATTAGAGCCCCCAATTTAGGGTGGGCACCCAAATCCTTTCTTCAGACCCCATTCCTGGGGCAGAATGGGGGCTCACCCCTAGGCCCCCATCTGGCCGTTTCTTCCCCACGTGCTCGCCTACCCGTCCGCGACTCGCTGCTGTTTCCGTCGCGTGTGACTCCCCTGCCCGTCAGTGACTTGCTGGCGCCGCCCACACTCCGGGGTGGGCTCCCTCCCTCCCCTCTGGCTCCCTCTGGCATAGATCCCGCTTCTCCGTCCCTCCTCTCCAGCCCCCTCCGCCATGGATCCCGTGGCTCCCTCACCCCTCCTCCCTCTCTCTAAGCCCCAGCATGGTCTGCGACAAGATTGACCAAGACGGAGGTGGCCACGCAAACATGGTGTGACTGTGTGGCATTGTGGTGAGTAGAGTGGTGCCTGGCAGTCCAGTACCTCTACCATGGCGTTCACCTTGCGGATGCACTCGAGGCTGTCCACGCAGGTGAAGGCATCGTCCACCGTGCCCATCCGAACCCCGTGCACCTGCCCTCTCGCCAGCCGGCTCGCGACCGCTAGGTAGTGCGAATGGTACGCACCCATCGCAATATCCGAGTCCCGCAGCCTGTGCTTGGCGTGCTCCTTTCGTCTCGTGCGATCAGATTTGGGAGGAAGAAGAATGAGATACTGACGAGCGGGCCCCGTTTGTCATTGAGTGCAGAAATAGATCTAGGGGCCTAAATTTGAAGGCTGCTGTTGGAGTGGAAACAAAAAATTGACCCAACAAAAGTAGGGGTAGCACCCATATCAAAAGTAAGGCCTCTAATTTGGGTGCCCCTACTAGAGTTGCGCCTACAGGAGTTGCTCTAAGCACATCTGTGAGTTTTCCTGTATTGCAAATTGAGTGCAACTGCAAGTTTCTCTGTATTGCTAATTGAGTGTGGCTTGGAGAGCGCGAGGCGAGCTCCAGACACGAGTAGCGCTTGGACATTGCAGTCGCAGGAACAGGTGTAATTGATCATCAGGTTCGTCACATTGGATCCTACGATAAATTAGCCTGCGGATGTAGTAAGGTTGTGTTTATTTCCCTGGACTAGGGTTGCCCGTCCGTCCCAGTCCAGCCTAGCCAAGTGGAGGCAGCCCCAAGTGGTTGTTTGTTTGCCTGGATCCAGTACGGGTTGGCTGAGGGCGAGATGATGTTTATTTGCCTGGCTAACGTGTAAGGTTACCCGGCATCAAGAATCAGG